AACCTGAGGAGCCTGATTGCAGTGTGTACTCTGGCAAGTGAAAACCAGCATTACTAAGATAGAATGTATTTGAAAAATGCATATTGGTATGATTCTTAAAGGGTACCTGAGCTTAAAACTTGTATTTCATCAAGCTGTCATGGTTGGTTGGACAAGATGGTAGTTCAGTCTAAATTGTTTGAAGCAGTATTGGAGTCCATGATCTCCAAATAAGTCACTGATAATTTAGATGTCAGGTTTGAGCTTTGATTAAACTTTTGAGCACTTGGCTCAAAAGCTGGGGGAGAAAACTGAGTAGCGTAGGAGGTAGTAATTATCTGGCAGACCCAAATGTACAACAACATCCCTCTGTTGGGGCCAGCTCTTCTGGCCGTGTGCCTTCCCAGCAGCTTGCCCATCCCAGGCTCCTTGCTGTGTATTCCAAAAGCTGTTTCCCATCATTGCCAGCAGAGGGATCCAGAGGCTAAATTTTAGTTAGCTGCGAAGTCCTTGTTTCTTTGTCTTCTAAGGTAGTGTGCTCTTCTGTAAAGTAAGCTGTTCATGTCAGCAGTATTGGTTAATTCTCAAAGGCATTTCTCTTGGGTTTCTCTGCCAAATCACTTCTACAAGATGTTGTCAGGGAAACATAAGCATCTTTCAAAGCTTTACAGAGCTGTTTCTGTTAACACTCATTCCATCTTATACAGTACTTCTTGTATGCAGGTGTCAGGGAATATGAGTTTCATTACTGCAATATGAGTGGGCATTGAAATACCTGTTACTGTGAAGTGCAGAAAATAATGTCAATTCTTCACACGCTCTGTATTCTATGAGTACGTTGAAATCCTGTGATCATTTTCTGTGTGCTTGGCCAAAAATTGACCATGAGCTTAACAAGCAGAAATTATGTTACCTAGTTCTTGCAACTCTTCTCTGTAACCTGGCTTTGAAAGGCTCCTTTAGCTTTAAGAATACAAAGTTGTAATGACATCAGTTCATCTCTTTCAGGTGTATTTCTCCACATTGTTGCAGACACGCTGGGAAGTATTGGTGTGATCATATCTGCTCTACTGATGCAGAACTATGGTCTGATGATAGCAGATCCTATTTGTTCAATGCTGATAGCACTACTTATAGGTGTAAGGTAAGCGTTGCTGTCACTGATAGTTGGCAGTGTTTTTGGTGTAACTTACAGCACAAATTACAGCTTGGAAGAGAAGGTTTGTCAGCTGTACTCATGACTTGCAGTCTGTGCTTTTCTTCCAAGAATGGTACCTTACCTCTGTTGAGTACAGCTTTCCTGCTGTGCTCTTATAGGAATCGTCTGTCTTTCCCCTTTCTACAGCTGCAGCTTTTGCTCTTAAATCTGCCTCTTTTAGCCCTGTTTGCATGATTATACAAAAATGTCTTTCAGGTTCAAGCTGTAGAAAGCTTCCTGTCTGTATTTAGTACATGCTTATATAAACCAGTGTGCTCCAGTAAATGGAGCAGAATGGCTTCAGGGCAGCAGAGCTGAGCCTGCTGGCACAGGATGTGCCCTTGTCCTTGACAAATCAAATCTGGTAGGTTTTGTGGGTTTTTTCCCTGGCAAGAGCTGTCGTTTCCTTTTGGATTTGTATTCTGAGACATCCTTATTCCTTTGCAGATCTGGTGGAAATGCTTCAAGTAGCTCTGGCCTTTCCCTGTTGTTGCTTACCAAGCTCACTGTACATGTGTACCATGTACAAGCAAACGTTTTGTTCAGTGCTGCTGCTACTGGGGCTTTCCTGGCAGAGGTGTCACTGGTGTCACAGGGCAGAGTGCCACAACTCCAGTTACAGCCTCATAACCGAGCACCTCCTCTGCAGTGGTGAATGTCATCTGATTAACTGCAGCTACTTATGCTTCTACCACATGTGGCCTGTTTATACCATGTGCATGGCAGCATTCACAGAACTATTGATGTGAATCTCCCAAATCAGAGTAGGGCAGTAAATGCCCACAGAAGTCTGTGCTAGAGATCACTGTTGAAGTACGACTTTAATAGAATCTTAATATTCTTACCTAAACCTCCTGTAATTTCATAAAGGACAAATTATTACAGACTAATTCTGTTACTGAAATATCAAAAAAAGGGAGATAAATGTGCAGATTACCAGTGAGGAGGAAACTCTTGCAGAGGTAATATCTGAGTAAAGCACTAGTTTCCATATACTTTGAATTTTAAAGGTCTAGCTTTGTGTGCAGAAAAGCACATGTGGAGTGCTGATCATAAAGTAGTTTTCTTTCATGCATACAGAGGTTGAAGAAGGCTACCTTCCATGATAGAGGTCTCATAATAAAGCTGTTTATAGGTAGGTCTTCTAGCACAGCTAGGAGGAGTGTCTGAGGTTCGTGTTCTGCGCTGCAAGTGCTGGAGAGCCTCAGTTTGATGTGTCTTTTGACCTGATCCCAGACCTTGGCCTGTAACATTTTCTTGGTCCATGGTGCTATAATGATCTCTCAAATCATTATGCTGAGTGCAGTCAGCTGCCTCACAGTCAGCAGAAGCAAGCCTGCATCTCTTGCAGACTGACACATCCCAGCACAACAGGAGCAAACAGCAACTGAAAGTTTGAGCTGGGTTTGGTTTGGTTTGGTTGGTTGGGCTTTTCATTTTTAAGTAGTCCAACAGACTACACTAGTGATGGCTTTGCTTGAAATGCACTTAAACAAGATCATAAACAAGATGACTGGCAGTTTCAGGTGGGTGCTCCTTGAGAGCTCGAGTCCCCTTTTGTGGTGCTTGACTTTAGTAATTTTCATGTATGCTTCTGGACATAAAACCACTGCTTATTCTGCCTTCATCATCCATGGTGACAAGGTGGTTCCTAGAGGAAGAAGAACAGTCCTCATACTACATTACTGTTCAGATGTAGGGAGGTAAAGGCATGAAGTCAGATACTTTCCACTTTACAAATTCCATTATGCTTTCCCTTGCTGTAGAAAGTTGTGTTTTCTCCATCTATCTATTTTTCTGTTGAGTCTTGACAAGCAGAGGTCTTGGCATTTGTGGATTCTCAACAGGAAGACTGTACCCTGCAATCTTTCCCAGTCTCTGCATCATAGATCCATGGCCCGTTCTGAAGGGTTGGTTTGGATGGGGGGTTGTAGCTGTTGTGTTCCTGGATGCTACCACTAATATCTGATGAACCTGATGATTACTTTCTGCTTATGATCTCATGCAAGTTGCCCATTGAATTATAGAGCATAAATAGGACATGGTTAAAATAGAGGAGTCTGTTTCACTAGCATTTTGTTTGAAGTATCTATAAGTTCTTTTACAAAAGCTTGGCTATTTTGTAGGTGTTCAGGTTGACACTCTTCAAGTTATTCCCAAGCTGTTTTCAAGACTTCAAACGGCTTTTAATATTCAAAACTAAATGTTTATTTTTTTTTAACATTAGTATTCAAAGCCTTATTCTGAAACGTTGAAGCAATTAGAGTGTCTCAATGTGCAATAGTCATCAGCAAAAGCCGCAACTCCAGTACAAAGCAAGAAGTTTGTCTGAAACCACTGTTAGGCCCCCATGTTTCTAGAAAGGCACTGTAGACTAAATATGATACTGGATTGGGCAGAGCATGCACACCACAGAGTGGGTGATTGAAGACATGATGCAATTCAGTCATTTAGTGCAGTTGTTTCCATGGCTTACATCATCTGGAGCTGCTTGAACATGATATCACATGAAGGAGCTTTGAGTGAGCACATGTCTGTAACATTTAGGGTATATGCCTGTAATGTTTGGGGCATAACAGTATAAATAGTTGCTCTTTGCAATGAAGTGCTCACTTGCTAAGATTCAGAAGGAATATTCATAGCAAAACTCCCCTGAACAAGCATGCCTGATGGTGGTGTTCCGAGCCATCACTGCTGAATGGTCTGCACTGCCTTCGTGTACAGGCTCATGGTACCTGCCAGCCTTGCTTGGGAACCAAAGCACTGCATCGTGGTGAGAACAGCCAGTTTAGAACTGGGAAAGTAAGTGTTAAACGTGTGATCCTTGTCTTGCCCAGAGCCTGCAGTCTGGTTAAAACTGCCACTGCCTGATAGGAAACTGTTGTCAGAGTTCTGAAACAGGGTGACAGCCTTGGCACTGCCCGTGTGGATTGTGGCTGGAGGGAAAGGAGGAGGTCAGCAGACCTGGCTGTAGTTTGTCGGCTCTGGGGTGTGAAGAACCAGAGCTGATGTTGAGTCTGAGCAGTGTTTGCCTTCCACAAAGTCTGTCACAAGTGTTTTCTACAGTGCTGAAAGCACTGAGTGCATTTCCTGCTCTGCTCTGACTGCAGTGGCTGTGTGAAGGGCTTTCAGCCTTGCTGTCCAAAACTGTGGCAATGCCAGAGTCTTGCTGGCTGTGCCTACCAGACAGTGGGACTGGAATGGGTATGAACATCACCTGAATGTGATGCACGTTGATGAAGAGCCTGATGCTCTCGCTCTTGGTTGCTGTTCAAGCCACGTGTAGTAGTGGCAAGCTGGACTTACCAATAGCTTTTGTCTGCTTGAACACCTTTGTCTCCCTCTGCAACAGGATGAGTGTGATGTGCTGCCAGCTCAGTTTGCACACATTTGCTGCTGTTGCTGTTAGGACTTTCATAGAGGATCTTCTAATGTCCGAGGTCTTGCTGTGGGTTAGTGCCTCTTTCAATTTCCGTTGTCTAGTAAAAGAGAAGTTGCATGGAGGCCTTGGAGCAGCTTCCAGTGTGGGGCAACACGAGGGAGAAGGTCTGGAGAGGGGCTCTGCATCAGAGACTGGAGCAATAGGACAAGGGGTGATGGGTTCAAACTGGAACAGGGGAAGTTCAGGTTGGATCTAAGGCAGAAGCTCTTCCCTGGGAGGGTGCTGAGGCGCTGGCACAGGGTGCCCAGAGAAGCTGTGGCTGCCCCATCCCTGGCAGTGTTCAAGGCCAGGTTGGACACAGGGGCTTGGAGCAACCTGCTCTTAGTGGAAGGGGTCCCTGTCTTTGGCAGGGGGTTGGAACTGGGTGAACTTTAAGGTCCTTTCCAACCCAAACCAGTCTGTGATTCTGAGTGTGATATATCAGATTCAAGGCTTGGTGATTGGAGACCACTGGAAGATGGTGTCTGCTTTAGCAACAAAGCTTCCAGACTGCGGCTGCGAGACAAAGCTCTGCTGGGTGAGATTTGAGCAGTATTTGCTTTTCCTCAGTAATATTTCTATAAATAAAAAGCAAAAGGGAGGGGAAGTACCAGTGCAATAGCTGCTGCACAGACAGCCACGTGTGTCTTGCACTAGTGACTAATCCAAGGAAAGGAAAGCTTGGTCAGAATCTCTAACCGCACTTTTCAGCCTGCTTGCTCATCTTTCCTAGTGTTTTCTTCAGTCACATGAGATGGAACTAACATTTCTAGTGCCTCCTGGTGATTAAGTAATACTGGGGTTTAGGTAGTGTTTGAGAAAAGGGCATAGTGTGTGGAGTTCTGTGCTTTAATTAAAGGGTTTGTACGTATGGAACAGTGGGAAACCTGAAAGACCAGAAAACTGGGTTCTCTATTTTGTCATGTTAGTTGGGCTTACAGTAAAAGATAAGACACCTTGTAAGATAGTGTCCTTTGGGTGCAGAGATGTGTGCGTGGGCTTCTGCTCTTAGCAGCAGTTGTGAGGACAGATCCCATCGTTGCAGCTGGCGTTTGGCCTTTCCAGCTTTGCAGAAGAGAAGCTTGTAGCTGAACCCTGTGTCTGGGTTAGAGGAGGGAGGTGTCACCTGGGGAATGCTTCGGCTTTCACCAAGCCCCATATCCTGAGTTACCTTTACTCTTCGAGCTTTTAAGCTGTTGCTGTTTCACACCATGGCTTTAGTGCTTCTGTGAGGGCTGGATAAAAGCATCACTTGTGCTGCATTATTGCAAAAAACTTGCACAGGAGTTTTCCCTCTTAAAGCTTTAATGTGGAGCTGTTACAATACCATGAATAGGGGAGATCTTGCCAGCCTGGAGACTGTCTTCTAAGCTGTGTCACCTGTACGAGGAGTGGAGTGTTTTCCCACTTGCCTTTTGTGTATTAGTTAATTCTGAGCTAATCATAGAATCCACCAGGTTGGAAAGACCTTGAAGATCATCAGGTCCAAGCGTTCCCAGCAGTGCCAAGGCCACCACTGACCCCTGGCACTGAGGCCTCGTCTACCCGGGCTGTGAACACTTGCAGGGACGGTGACTCCAGCCCTGCCCTGGGCAGCCTGTTCCAATGCCTGAGCACCCTCTGGGCAAGGAATTGTTCCTCAGCTCCAGCTAAACCTGCCCTGGGGCAGCTTGAGGCCCTTTCCTCTTGTCCCATCCCTTGTTCCTTGGGAGCAGAGACCAGCCCCCTCCTGGCTCCATCCTCCTGTCAGGCAGTTGCAGAGAGCGATCAGGTCCCCCCTGAGCTTCCTCTTCTCCAGGCTAAACCCTTCATGCTCAGTGGCGCTGCTGCGCAAGGTCTTTGGTGCTTACGTGCACCTTGCTGATAGATAGACTTAACCTTGGAAGAAGATCAGTTTCTTGGGCACAGGGTTTTCAGCATGAAGCAGATGTTAATCTTCAAGAAGCTTGTTCAGCTGAAGAGCTTCGAACAGGATTTTCACTTCCTCTCTCCTGTGTGCATTTCTGTTCCAGACCGAACCAACTGGTGTCACTGACCAAATCCGTTTTTGGAACGGATTATCATGCCCAGCCTGCCAGTTCATTTCCATCCCATCACATAATGTACATCAGATGTATAAATGAATGTAAATAAGTTGTGCAGATCAGACATTTCTTGATTGTGTATCTCTGGTGGGTTTCCCCCCACTCTTAGCAGTATGTCCCAGTAGAGATGCAAGCTCCTGCAGGCTCCTTTCTTTAGTCATTTCCTTGGGGAGAAGATGCAGCCTGTATGTGTGTGTGTTTTGAAGCCTTTGGAAGCCTCACCCATATGTTAAAGGCACTTTGTTAAGTTTATGGGACTGGAGTCAGTGTTCGAAGACTTTGTGTTCCATTTGCATCCTGAACTCATGTATTGGTCTTTCAAGGTTATTATGGAGAAGTGAACCTGCATTTTAAATAGTGAGTTAATCTGAAATCAATTCAGCAAGAGTATTTTGGCAGCCCCAGCTCCCTCTGATGTCATGCTTGTGACATGGACATTATTTAGTGAGATGTGTCCATCGATAAGAGAACCTTTTTCCCTAAACTTCTGTAATCCACTGTCTGTAGAATGTGACACTCCAATTAAGCTTCCTTTAGACACTCGGGCAGTTACTGCCTTGCTGAATGTTTAATTGTCTGGTGACAGGTCCAGTTTAGGCAACTCCTGCCTGCTTCTAACTGCTTCTTCCTGCATCTCACCCAGTTCCCCCCAGTAGTGGTGGAACTGGGTGAGGCCATATGGTGAAGTGCATCAGGCACTGAATTTGGCTGGAACCAGTGTGATTGCAAGGCAGCTTCGTGTTAGGGTGGCTGTTCTTCCAGGGGTTCATAAGACAGGAGTCACACACCCTCCAACCCCCTCCCAGCCCTGCCTAAGGGTTGGCCAAGGAGGTCAACTGCTCAGCTCACAGCCAGTGCTGCTTCCACGTACAGATGGAACCAGCTCTTCAGAAACGGAATGGTTGGGTCATGCTGCTCATCATCTGCAGGTATACACCTGGGCTGTGCAGTGTGTTCTGCATCGCTTCATGAGGTTTCCAACAAAGCTTCAGTGATTTCCTTTAACAGACAGCCCAGTTCATCTCTTGGAAATGTTTTCTGCATGCTTGTTATCCCATTACTCCCTGTGTTCCAGCTGTGGTGCCAGTGCTGAACACTGAAATTCAGCTTGCAGCTTCTGAAATACATTATCGCTTGTGGTCTAGAGTGGTGGGTTGACTTCACATGCTCTTGAAATGAAGATTGCTATTCCAGTGTTAGTATTGGGCTGCTTCCTCTTAAAAATCTTAGGATGCTCTCTTGAGCCAGACAGGATAGACTGCTCCTGAAAAACAACTCGCCATTCTGCATCTGTAACACGAGTATGAATACTTGGTGGTAGCTTCAGCAGATGGGCTTATTGGCCAACTGGTTCTCTTAAAAATATAAAGGCAAGTACCAGTAATAAAGAGGACACTAAGAGTTCTCTTGGTTTGCTGATTAAACAAGACCATTTGGCCAGGAGGGAACCTTTAATTGCTTCCACATGTTTAATCCTTGAGCTTGGCTGAGCCCCTCTGCTTAGTTCACTTCAAGAATATGCTCTGTTGCCTGTTTCTGACAAAATAACCTTGTTAGAGCTGGACTGGTCCATGCTAATTTTGTTTTATGATCTCCCTGTTAAGAAAAATATGCCTGAAGCCAAGAGCAAAAGCAAACCCCATTTCAGTTGCCTATTTTAGGGTTGGTTGTGAGTGATTGCTATTGAAGTAGGTCTGGGTTTTGAGCTGTACTTATCAGCTGCTTTGTCATATACCTTTGAAAAGACTCAGAAAGCTCATCTCAAATACCATGATTAAACTATTAATCTCCTGTGAGCATCCACCAGTTGTCTCTGTGGCAAATCCAGGGGAGAAGTAATCTTGTCTTCAGTAAGACACCACAGCAATTCTGTCAGTCCTCTTCTGTACCAGGCTTTCAGGGCAACTTCCTTCGCTTCTGGTGAAACAACTGAAGAAGAATGCTTCAAGAGCATTAAGGAATGTTATGTTGCTCTGTATGTTTAGGTAACGTACTAGCAGCTAACTTGCTTTTTTCTTTCCAGTATTGTTCCGCTTTTAAAAGAATCCATTGGAATTCTGATGCAGAGAACTCCTCCTTCCCTGGAAAACGCTCTGCCTCAGTGCTACCAGAGGGTGAGCTCTTAGCCTGTTTTCCCTTCAGATCAAGCTGCTGACTAAGCCACAACTGTGTGTACAAGGATATTTTGTGATGCTTTCCAAGTACTGCCTGTGAAAGGTTCCTTAGATTGTACAAATGGAGGTACCAGTTTGATTTTGAGCTTCCCGCTGTCCTAAATTGTCTGTATCTTCAGCTTGGTTTGTGATTTAAAACGTGCTGTGTTGCTTTAGAAAAACAGGTCCTGGAGCTTTTCCTCTCAAAGTAGATTGTGCTGGTACAAAGTGGATAAGGTTTTGCTGTTTTGCTCAGTTCTTGTCTCCCTCAAAGTCTAGCAGTAAGTAACATTGGAAGTGTGTTTATAAGAATACGTAGATTACTCTAGATTTGGCGCCTCCTGCTACTCCTCTATAACTTATCTACTACTGTGTTATGACTGAGCATTGAAGTGCCTTTGCAAAGTGAGCAAAAAGCACTTGCAGGAGTGCCAGCTACAGGATTTAATATCATGTGGAAAGTTTGCTGAAAGTGGGCAGAGGCAAAAGAAGGGTTTGGACAGGACAAACATGACCCCACACAAAGTGAACTAGAAGTAAAAGCAATATCATTTATAATATTTTCTGTAAAAAAAACCATAGTACAGACATTTTCTGAAGTATGTATTTTAAAACGTGCCTGTATTTCTAGGTGCAGCAGCTGCAAGGAGTTTACAGTTTACATGAACCCCATTTCTGGACCCTCTGTACAGACGTTTACATAGGGACTTTGAAATTACTAGTAGCTCCTGATGCTGATGGAAGGTGGATTCTAAGCCAGACTCACAATATTTTTACTCAGGTAAGTCTCCTGGGCAGAAATCACATCTCAAAGTGCAAAGTGCCTGTTACTTGATGTGACATCGTAGTTCTTATCAAGAGAAACTAAAGGTTTCTGGGTTTGGTGTTGGTGTGTTTTGAAAAGCTGCTCTGCTCCAGCTGTACAGAGCAATTTCACAATACTCAGTAGTGTAGATGAAACTGCTGTACCTCTGCCTTGGGTTTTGGTGCTGCTTAATGGAAGTAACAGCTGTAGTTGTCTGAGGTGTATCAAATGAAGTTGAAACCCTATACTGACTTATGGGGAACCAAGAAAATAAATGAGGCTTCCCTCAAGACAGGGCTTCCGACCACAGGCTGGGACCTGTGTAAGTTTTTCACTGTGCTGATGCTGTATTTGTCATTCATTTCTATCTTCCTAAGAATGTCTTTGTCATTCATGTCTCTCCCTCCCAAGAATCCATGGTCCATAGTGTCCTTTGTCTGCTTTTGAGTGACAAAGAGTTCTATAGCTGAAAAGGAGACAAATATTCCTATTTATAAGCAATGTTTTAGGTAACAAAATATTATCAGCTAAAGGGTGATAGTTTGGAGATAAGGTAAATTACTGTCAGCTTTATTCAAAATCCCAGACTGGGTTTTGTGTTTTCAGTGTGGTTTTGCACACTCAGTTTCTGGTCTCTCTGGAGAAGCATCACTAAAGTACCCCTCCAATTTGCTGCCTCAGTGCATGAATTCTCCTCAAAGGAATTTGAAGTAGTAAGTCATGGGGAGCCCAGTAAATACAAACACACATACCTGGTTTTATGTTAGGGACTTAGGGAAGTATGAGTTGTTAAAAGTACCCTAAAATCATTTTAGTCCTAAAGTTTGATCCTTTTTGAGATGTTCCATCACATGCAGCTATAGATTATTGAGTAGGTGGAAATCAGCCTGCATGGCTTATTCTGCAGACTGTGTAGTTTGAAACTACACAGTAGTTCGAAACTATCTTTGGCAAGATATTTGCAGAACATTTATTGCATTAAAATGAATTTTACATCCAAAGGATTGCATTTCCCACGTGGGTCATTAGCTCTTCAGCTGCTCTGTAGCTGTGCTGGTATCCAGAGCCATGTGTCCAAGAAGATTTCTTGCTGAAATCTTAGTGTAGAGCTGGTTCAACCAAAAAATGCCATGTTACACTCTTGTGCTTGGCTCCATTTTTACCCTGACAGCTCTCCAAGCACCCTGCTTTTCAGAAGTTAAACGTGGACAAAAGAAAGTGAGAACTGCTTTTGTGCAGCTTCATGTGTGGCAATTATTCAGGATGAAGCAGAAAAGGTGATGTAGCAAAGCTATAGTTCATATATAATAAATATATAGTTAATATA